AAATTTCTTTTTTACAATTTCTTTTTTTTTATAATATAATATTAATAAAATTTATTTTATAAATTATTGTTCTATAATAAAATATTTAATTTAATTTTATTTTATATCAATATTTATTTTATAGTATTATACAAATATTACGTATATTTATCAAAAAAGTCCATTTTTAATTCATTATTGCACTATTGGTTTCTATAAAAATTTTAATATTGAAAATTTGTAACAATACGAAGAATAAAATAGATTTTTATACAGAATTCATTACTACTTATGTATAATAAATACATTTAGTACTTCCATAATTTTACTGTTATTTATAATTATTAATTAATATTTTGAACGATTACATATTATATATCATACATGATTATATATTATATATCATACAACTGTACGAAGATGATTAGCCTTTTTCATAAAGGCACACTTTTAAAAGATTTGTATAAACAATTTAATTTATAAATATTTATGAAACTAAATATCGTTATTCAACTCCATACATCACTTGAATAACGTTTTTGTGAATCCATTTTCTTGATATAATCCGCTGCATCTAATTCTGACATTTTTCCCTTTTCCATCACAACTTTTAATAAAATATTGTGTACATCCCGTGCCATATTTTTTGCATCACTAAAGATGAAATATATTTTACAAACATATAATACATATTTTATAATTTATTAATTTAACGTGTATTATTTAAAATATATTTTAATAAATCACAAATAATTTTCAATATAAATTTCTTGATAATTATATTTTACACATAAGAATAGCAAATTCGCAAAAAAAAACCAATTTTTCTTATATTATTATAAAAAATAATAGTAAAAAAATATCTTAAATATTAAAATATTCAATTTAATTATTAAGTTGAAAATTATTCATGAGTTAATTTAATAAATACTATTTAAATTACATAAATTATTATATAAATAATTATATGATTTCATACTAACCCACACACATAAATATGTCCATTTTGTTCTCCAATAATTTGCCATAATTCATCTTTATTTTTTTCCAATAGATGTGTAACATATATTTTCTGAGATTGTTCTCTACTAAATGCAGTATGTAAAATTAAAGTACCTGTCTTTACATATTCTTCGAGTTCATCTTTATAAAGAAAATCTTCATTTTTTTTTCTACATCCAAAATATAAAATTGTATTTCCTACTTCTTTTCCTAAAATAAAATAGATTTTTATAAATTATTTATATTTAATGAAATGTATTACGTTTATTGAAAAGTAATATTTTATAAAAAATTTTTAATTTGATTTTTTAATTTGAATTTTGTTAATTACCTTCTTTTCTTGCAAGATCACGTTCTTGTATAAAACCTCTAAATGGTGCTATTCCAGTACCTGGACCAACCATGATAATAGGAGTTGATAATCGAGTTGGTAAACGAAATTGAGATTTTCGAACAAAAATAGGAACATAACATGGTGGATGTGAAGGATGCTTTTCTTTTAACCAACTAGTAGTTACACCTTTGTTAATTCTACCTGTTGGTGTTTTATATTCCACAACAACTGCAGTAATATGAATTGAAGATGGGTGCAGCTAAAAATTAATTAAAAAATAGTTTTAAACTAAGATTACAAGATAAATTATATAAAACTAATTATATAATATAATATAATTATATAATATTATAAATATTATCAAATTAATTAACATGTTCAACCAGGCGCACATTTTCGATGTCTATATGATGGACAAACACGAGATAAGTTATTTATTCTTCTGGTGACACTTGTTTGACTCACTACTGTTTATGTTATCAGGCTTGCGTTTATATATGTGAACTATCGGTGATATATGCTGGGTTGAACATATTAATATTATATAAATATATTAAGATAATTAATATTATATTAATATAATTATATACATGTTATATATGTATATATATATATATATCATATATTAATATTATATATTAATTATTTTAATATTGTATGTAATATATATATATATTTTTAAATATAATTTAATTTTATTCAAATCTTTTTATTTTTCAAGTTTGCATTATAATAAAAAATTATTATAAATATTGAAATAATATACCTTAGGAGATGAGGAAATTGAATAATATCGACATTGTAATCTTGGTAATAGTTCGCAAAGATGATCCAAGGCTGGTTTCAAACTAGGAATATCTTCTAAAATATGTACAATATTTCTATTTTCTTGAACTATCCATTGCTGATAAGCAGCTTTACCATCTGCACTGGTTGATGCCATTAATTTTAATTGTTCTTTATCGTTTGGATCACTGCAATATTCTGCTAATTCTTTCAGAACATGAGTACGTGGATTACTAGTAATATCTAAATAATGTGTCAAAGCAGTTCTGTAAGAACATGGACAAGGAAATGGATGCTTCTTGGTAGATTCCTCTGTAATAATAAAAATAATTTATACTAAAGACATTAATGTTAAATATATTGATAATGATGTTGAAGGATTTTTAATTTACCATCTGTATTTGTAAGAGTAAACACTGTATCTAAATTTATACCACATTTTTCTCCAATTTTATTTACTAATTCTGCATTATTTACAGGATATACTGCTAAATGATCGCCAGTTTCATATCGCATTTTTGATCCTTCTATATCAAATTCTATGTGCATACATGATCTATCTGAAGTTGAACTATGAAGTTCACGATTCATTTTTACTGGAGCTAAGAAAGGATTTTTTGCATCAAATGGTCTATAAAAACAGAAATAATTTTTTAATTTATATATTTTAATATAACTTCAATAAACAATAAAAAAACATACGCTCTCTGATTCTTAAATGAATGAAGACGAGCTATTTCACCAGTATAAATGCGTTCAATTAATAAATCAACATGTTCTGTTAGTTTGTACTGTCTGATACTAACATCTTCCCCTGCACCTTCAATTCCAAAGAATTCACAAACTGTTGGCCAAAATTTATCTTTCCATGTGATAAAATCATCTTCTATACTATAATAATAAATTTTATGTTATTATAATTTTATGTTATTTACATTTATATCAAAACTTTTAATATTTAACAAACTATATATAATAAATAACTAATATAATAAATATTTATATTATTTATAATTTAATTATATATTTTTATTTTATACTGAATATTTCAAAATAAAAGTGATGAAAATATGCATAATAAAATTCTATAAACTTACTTGGCATCATCATCACCCAAACCAAGTTCAAAAACACGAGTAGCACCAAGTTGTTCTAATCTATGATCAACATATAAAGCTATTTCATTGTAATGTTCATATGTTTTATTTCCAAGACCAAATACCTGTAAAAAAAAATATAATATATAAAAATATAATAAATAAATATATTTTTTTCATATATATAAAACAATTTTAGTAAAAAAAAAATTCAATAAATAATTTAAATTAATTATATTTACATAATAAATTTTATGTATCGATTTCATTGATATTGATTATTGATAAAATAAATTAAGTTTAAAAAATTTTAATAAAATATTTATAAAATATATTATTTATTTATAAAAATGTAAATATTGATCCAAATATATAAATATATATGATTATATATACCTCAAACATTGGCGCTAAAAATAATGTTGTAAAATGCCGTTGGATAGCGCTATTGTATCTATGATGCTTAATCATTACACGTAGCAATTTATCAAATTTTTTTACATTCATCGTTTAAATATTTTTTAATAAATATTTTAAAATTTTTAAGATTTAAAGTGTTTTTTGTTACGTTTACAATTATATAATAATTACAATAATTATTTTTTATAATAAAAACACTTATATCATGTTTTAATAATTAATATACAATAGTCACATGTCTAATGATTATAAATTGCTTACGTAAGATTTATAATCTCTACTATCATAGTTACATATTTATTATAGTTTTATAAATCAAAATTTTTTTACCAGAGAAAAAGATAAGTGTTTATATTATTTATAATAGTATAAATTATTATAATATTTAAATTGAAGCTCTATGCGCATGAATGTTACATCATTGTGATTTCGCACTGAGCCTAATACTACACACAAGTTACAGAATGAACATATCTTATGTAAGATTATATTTTATATTCTGAAATATCGATTTCGAAAAAAAAAAAAGTTTTTTATGCCCTCTATGATTTAGTACAGCTAGAACATAGAAATGAATATCATTATTAAAACCAATATTATCAATAATTATAAACGCTAAAAAAAAATCTTCATTTCGTTATTATCTTAAAAAAATTGATTGTATCGCATAAAGTTTAATGTAATGAACGACACAATATCACCACAATTGCTACAATTATAAATGTTTCGATATTCGGAATCTGAACTGTTATTGCGAGTCCGCATATATTATTCATGCACGTATATATTTAGGTTAGGAGCATATGAACGAAAAAAAATATTGCTACCATTTTTCTTATTTTTCAATTGAAAATAACGAAGATAGCATAATTGCGTGTAAAAATCGCTCATTTATATTTATATTTGATTTAAGGCTTAAGTAACGACAAGCTATAGTAAAAATACATATATACATAAGATTTTGTAAATTTTTAACAATACAATTTATGTTCTCGTACAATATATTTGATTTAAATGAAAAATGTAATATTTTTCTATGAATTTAAGCCTAATACAAATTTAGTAGATTATTTTATTTTTTATTTATATTATTATTATAAAAATTTTAATATGATAATTATCACAATAGCATATTGCTTCTTGGCAATTCTTTAATTTTTCAACTTTTTATAGATATAAAGTATAAAATGAAAAAATAACACTTACAGCATAATTTAATCCATTTAAATCAGGATCACCATTTTTTAGCCAATCAATAAAGTCCATAGCATTGTCTGTAGGATCACCTTCTCCATATGTTGCTAAACAGAATACTGCCATACTGTTTGGTATTGTTTTGAGATGTATTAATTCTTCCTGTTGTAATTATGTAATTATATAAAATTATGATATATAAATAAATAAAATAATAATGAGAAATTCCTAAAATTTTTTCATTTTTATTAATTATATATGTCTGAAGTTATATTATACTTTCCAAAACTTTCAACAATTCTATCTAAAATATATCGATTTTTCATAGTAATTGTATTTTCATATTAATAATTTTAGAGAAAAAAATGTTACTTTTGAAATAAAACAATGATTCAGATCATTGTTTTTTTTTTTTTCCATAAATATATATACATATAGTATATATACCATATCACATTCTTCTGGATCAGCCACCATGCCTTTCATTTTGTACCGGATACCTTCCTTGGCTAATCTACCGGCAAATTCTTCCGCAGTTCCAGTTTGACTACCATAAAATACTACTAAACTTCGTCCAGAAGTTTTCAATTTTTTTATAAATGAATTTTCTAATGTTTGCGTTGTAGGAAATATTGTTGGCCTTCAACAAAAAATATTTTTTCAATTTTAGCGTTTTTTCTTTTAGAATTTTGCAAATTTTAGAATAAAATATATTACAAATACTAATTTTTAATATATTAAAATAATATTTTAATCAAATATTTATTTTACGCGCGCACACATGCACATAAAAGATTATATAAATTATTCAACATATTTAAAAAAAAAATAAATCGCTGAATTTCAAAAATATTTTATATTTTAATATAAAAATTTTTATTATAATTCTTTAAATGTTAAAATATTAAATATTGTTATATATTATTATATTATTATAGAATCTATTATCATAGAAAATTTGTATTATTTTTTTTTGTATATCTATCTAAATATAAATATTATATATTATTTACTGTTTGTTTCATTTTTGAAAAAATGCATTTGATTATTTTTTCATTGAAGATAAATTAATAATTTCATTTATAATAATTTATAGTAAAAAAATAATTATTACTGAATAGAATAAGATTTTGTGACGGGTATGTATTCCTCCTGTTTGTTTCGGCGCATCAACCACCATAAAGCAGCCAATAAAAGAGCACTGAGAAGTATAATATCAAGAGTGCTGAAGAGAGGTTCATCAAGAATTTCTGTTTTATTCTCATTCAATACTGGAGAACCTGCCATTCTTATTGCTTTAGGTTGTAATCCGTTTACAGTCTGAAATAAAATAAAAAAATTGCAATATTGATTATTATATTTTGTTTCAAATAATTTTGTTAGTGTTAAATTATAGTCGTATTCATTCAAATCGGTGACATTTTATATTTTGGAATTTTTTTATTATTATATGTATAAAGAATTATAATCAAAAATCATTTAGAAATGATTGACAAGATTTTAGTCCAAGATTTTTTATTAATTTCAATTTAATATCGAATTTTATTACAATTATACAATATCGATATATTACAATTAAAATGAAATATTTGAATATTTCGGATATCTAATGGTTCTAATTTTAATAATATTTGAGAATTAATGACTGTAGAATTAATTAATCTCTATAGATAATAATTAAAATATAAATTAAAATATCATTCATAATTCAGCAATATAAATGAAGAATTAATTATCGAATAAATAATTTCATCATTTCTTTGATTATATGTTGATAAAAGATTGTGCATAAATGTTTTCAATTCTGTCTGTCATAATCAATATGAGTAAGCATTTTTGTTTTCAGTAGAATTTAATAATTATAATTTTAATGAGTATGTTATATCACATATCATATTTTATTTCAAAAATTAGAATTATATAAAATTTCGAATCTACTAATAAAAAAATACAGTAATGGAGACATGAAAGTTATACATTATTCTAAACAAAAATAAATATTTTGATATTTCAAAACAAAATTTTTATAAAAATATAAATTTAATTTTTATAAACATAATGGATTTGAATATAATATTCATATGTTTGTAATATAAATATTTAATATCTATGAGAAAATAATGAAAAGATAATATTCAAAATAATAATAATAATTGTTAAAATTAAAATTAAATAAAATTTTGCTTCATCTATTAAATAATAAATTTTTTTTTATATATCTTATATAATTTTTTATATTATATACATTTTGATATATATCTACATCTTTTTAATTTTGTACAAATATATATAAACATCAACATTTTAAACATAATTATAATCATATATTATAAATTATAAATAATATAATATAATAATTACAAATAATAAAAAATAAATTTGTCATTCTTTTGGATGTCATATAATGATTATATGATAAAATAACTTCAATTTAGGATTGTGTAACTATAGGATCAAGATATATATGACCTTGAATCATTTATATTGAGCTTCAAGATTGATATATGCAGTACATATATGTATAGACCACACGTAGAAAGATCAAGTTAATATAATATGAAGCACAATAATGATGTAATATTAAAACTTAGCGTTTTGAGTAACCATTATGATCAGATAGAAGCCTCTTATTAAAAAACTTAAAAAAAATGCAATGTATGATCGAGTACGATGAAAATAGTCAATATTTAAAATTTGTTGACTTTTCTATATAATTTATGGAAAATTTCAATCATATTTCATTTTTGTCAACAATGACAATATAAAAATTCTAACCTCATTTTATTTTTGTTGACAAGTATGATGTTATTGAAAAACAAAAAGAAATTAAAAAATATATATGAAGCATTTAAAGAAATTTATGATGTATTATTTCGATGTAGAATTACTTGTTTTACTAAGTTTCTTTCTATGTGATGAAAAAATTGACTTTCATAAGAAAATATTTTTATGTATAATGAATATCAACATTGCAATTAACGCATGAATAACAAAAATCTTTCGCGAAAAAATACAAATCTCAATAACAAGAGTGAAAAGAATAAAATTATTATTATTTATTATGTATAAAATTTTTATTATTTTAAAAAAATGTGAATAAAACATATATATTGCCATATAAATTCATTATAATTTTTAAGTTCTTATCATTGTTTTTTATCTTAATTTTTCCCTTTCTTACCTCGAATCAATTCTTATATATAATTGATTTAAATATAATTAATTTATAAATCATTAATATTTTTATTTTGCTAATTTTTAAATAAACTAAAAACAACAATATGTCATTTAAAGAAAATGCCTTGAAATATCCATTACTTTCATTTACAAAAAATTACGATGTATGCATTGTGTTTTTGAAAAAGCTTGTAATATTTAATTTTGACTCTGTACAATGCATACGTAAATATATAAATATATATCCTATAATATCTGAATCATAAAAAAATTATTTGATGATATGATAACAATTTCTTTTACAATATTCTTCCTGTTCATAATAATTTCATTTATTTCGAACGATAATATATAAATAAAAATTAAATAAATTGTATATATTATGTTAAAAATTAATTTTTCAATATTTTCAGGGTCAAATTTTTAAGGAATAAGGAATTTTATTTATGATAAAAACATATTTTTGTCATGAAACATAATAAACATTCCATCATTGATTGTACATATGTACATATATATCATTTTCCTTGAGTTGAATATCAGCAAATTGAATAATTACCGAGATTGGTTCACGTAACATATTACGTGATTCATCTTACAGAATAGTAAAATAGATCAATAAAATAAATAATTTTCAATTTTATTTCTTTATTATTTTATCTTTAATAAATGCTTATTAAACATATATTTGAAGTTTTTAAGAAAAAATGCAAAAAAGAAACTAATTTTATATGATAACTTTGGTATTATTGGTAATAACTTTGGATTTATAATTTTGGTAAGTAATCATTCCTATATTATTTCTAATATCTAATATAATAATAAAATTTAAATATTAATTTAGAGGATATTATTTTAATATATGGTAATTTTAACATTTTAACATATTTTATATAGTAACAATTAATATTATATTATAGTAACAATTAATTTAATGTTATATATATTACATATTTAATTACTATACATCCAAAATAATTTTCTTAAATAGTTTGTAATATGCATATGTCTTATTCAATATTATAGATTATAAGAATAACATAATAAAATATATAAAAACGATACAAATATTGTAATTATTTTTTTAAGTATAGAATTATTCTATATTTGAAATGAAAATTAAAATATCATTCATATAAGTAAATAATTCAAAATTAATGAAAATAAAATTCATTTATATTTATATTCTTTATTAATTAGATCTCATAAATATTATTATTGAAATTAATGTATGAAAAATATAAAAAAAATAAAATATAAAAATTAAAATTTATATATAGTTACATTAAAAAATAAAAATAATAAAAACATAAAAATGATAAAAAAAGTTTTCAATTTTAAACAATGATATAATCATCATACTATATAATTAATTAATTATTATAAATTTTTAAATTTTGAAATTATATTCTTTATATATAAAAAATGCATGTACTTATTTTTTCTTTAATTTCATTATATTTAAATATGATTTTAAACAAATATATTACTAAAATTTATGAAATTTATGTATTTGTAAATTTTTCGTAGATTAGTAGATTTTGATATAATAAATTAATAAAATAATGATAAAAGAATAAATACTTAAGAAATGTAAATATATATATATATATATATATATGTACATATATTGCATAATGCATAATATAGAATATGATATACAATTATTATATAATCTAATATAATAGAAATATTTTTGTATATTATTTGTGAACATATCTGAAACATGATAAAATACAAAAAATAAAAAAATATATATTAAAGAAATTTAATTTAAAAATATATGTATAAATATATTACAATTGAAATTATTATTACGAATGATTATTGTAGATTAGAATTTATATATTTTTTTCACGTAGAAATCTAAATTATACCATAAATGTTATATTTAATTGTATTTTTCATTACGTTCTTTTAAAATAAAAGAAATAGAATAAGAATATAAAAAATACATCAATAAATGTAATAACATAACACAATTGTTATATTGTATTATAAAGTAATATTTTAATAATATAATATATATTATTTTTTTTATTAATTTAAAAATTAATTTATTAATTTTATATTGCTTATATATATATATATATATATAACATAAAGATATTTATAATGTCATTGTTTTCATTATTTATATTTAAAAGAAAAAAATATAATAAAAAAAAAATATGAAAAATATTTGACAAATTAAGATTCATAAAATAACTTTAAAATTACTATTTATCATTTTTTTAAAAAAAATTTTGTTACTTTTAAAATATCTGTAATCATTCAATTCTTATAATCATTGTTAGATAACAAAACTTCTATCCTAATAATATTTAAAATTGATTACATTTAATAAATATATTGTCTATATAGAGTCTATTATAGTATAAACTATTATATTTGTAAAAATATATTCAAATATTTATTATTATTGTTATATTTCAAAAAATTCTTAGACTGCGATAGATGTGTTTTCTAACGAACGTTTTTAGATCAGAACAGTATTTTTATATCTAAAATGGTTATAATGCTTCTTTCTTCTTATATATTCATCTGATATTTATTTGTCAGAAATTATAATTTTATATATATAATCAGTCATTCAATAGTTAGTTCGTCTAGAAAATGTATTCATTGTAGGTATATTTTTAATACTTCCAACAAATAAAGACATTATTAATCGATAAAATTAATCAATACCAGATATCTATAACTCGTAAAAATCGTGAAAATCGATGTATATTATCTTCATTTTATACTTTACCGGTAAATCCATTCTTTTGAAAAAAATGCAACGTCTCAAAATTGAAAAATAGAAAAGAATTGCTAAATTTATATTGAATTTTGAGTGAAACGATTATGCACATTCGGAAAAATACCACATACTCACGCGACAATGAGTGTGTAACTGGCAGTAAGCTCGCAAGGTAATACTGAGATGATGCACATATCCATGTCGTGTACAAGCAGAATGAAAAATCAGCAAGTCATTGGCCGACTGAGCTTGTATTGCATGAACGTCACGTAGCATATAGCATAGAGTATATATTCAGATAACATATATACGTATAAAGCATCATGAAATTATACAAGTAGCGTGTCAAAAGACACGTATATTTACACATATTTTGCCAATGATCGTAATTCATTTA